ATTGGGTGACGGTGGGGTATCGATTCCTCCCAGGCGCGCGTCTGTGGGGGTGTAAAGGTGGCAGGAATGAAGGTGGTGGAAGGCGCGTACGGATTGGGGGCGAGGTGTGTGATGGGGCGAGAAGGTTGGAGGGAAGAAAGAGCGTGGCTTGGGCGGGCCTTTTGGGGTGAGGCTCTTTTAGGTGGCTGCTGGGAAGCAAAGGAGCCCGCAGGGTGAAGGTTGCAGATGGCTGCTGATGCCTGGGGGTGGGGGGGAGGTGCTTGGCCGGGGGAATGGTTGCTGCAGGCCAGGCAAGGTGAAATTGCTCGTTCGGAATGAAGTCAGAGCAGAGGATGTGGGGAAAAAGTGGACAATTTGAGGCAACTATGCGAGTAGGAGTGGTAGGTTTAGCGATGTATGTGCAGCGTTCGGTAGTAGGTGGGCATTGCGTGCGGTGGGCTGGCAGAGAATAAAAGAATCCTCCGTGCATGCACATGGTGAACCAACACTGCTCATTTCGCAACATTGCTAGCCACCATTCTTTTTACGAAAGCCAGCCGATGAACCTCCTTTCCACCCGACAGCGCTCCCCATCCAAATTGCTCACCACCTAACATCGTCCTTCTCACCATGGCGAACTCCTTCACACAGCTTCATCCCCATCCGCCTTCACTGCATTTTCCAGACACCCCACAGAGATTCCTTCTCCACAGCCGCCCGCAACCCATTCCTCCTTGCCTCCCTTGCCGCCGACACCACCCTGTCCCGTAAATACCTCCTCTCCCCCTTCCGGGCTCCTTTACGCCCCGAAACCTCTTGAAAAGAACCCGCCATTCCACTTCCTCAAACACGCTCTTCACACTTTTCCTACCATTACAACACTTCTTTCCCCCGCTCCTTCTTCCTACACATTCCTTCCTTCTCTCCAAAGACACACCACGGGCGCACCCAAACCAGGCCTCACCATGCCGGCTCCTCAGCCTCCCAAACGATGCCTCAACCAACCCCCAAGCGCAATCCCTGCCATGCTCTCCACTCTCCTGTCTCCCTTCCAACTAGTCCCTGGCTTTCGTCCCCTCCTCTCAGGTTTCTCAAAAGGAATGCTGCAACACTTCAAGGAATATTTGCTAATTTCTAATGAAAAAGTTTGAGCAAAAAATGCATGTCTCTAAAATATCTAATGTCCATCCTATGTCAAACAGTAGTGCATTGGCACTGTTGGCATGTAGCCTCATCTACAAATGCCTCCTGTCATCTAGCAAATACATCCTGTCATCTGGACAATGGTTGGTTGGACAAGGGAATGGGACAATGGTGTTTATAAACAAATGCATTTGTTTATAAACAGCAGCACACAGCACACTGGGGGGGGGGGGCAGCCAGGAGTCTTGAGAAGGGGGGGAAGACAACACAACCACCAACCCCCCCCTCCCAAGCTAGACGTTGTGAAGTTCTTATTGTTTAACATACCAAGTTGATGAGCAAAGGCATTGTTTATAAACACAGCCCTTGTTTATAAATATGTTGTGCAATATCTTTGGCAAGCATAATGTGTGTGTTTTTTTTGGCAGTGGTTTTGTTTATACTAACTGACTAGGAATTAAATCACTATATGAGGAATTACATGGGCTCGATGCGTTTTCCAACCAAGCGCAACATATCATAACAAACCCAAAACATACTTCCTAAGGAGCCCGGAAAACGCACCGAACCCATATATAAATATACAAATACATATATATATATATAATTATTAACATATATTTATATATATATACAAATAAATATATAAATATGTATAAACATATATATATATATAAATATGTATAAACATATATATATATAAATATGTATAAACATATATATATATATATTATATATATAAATATGTATAGATATATAAATATGTATAAATATATTTATAAATATGAATATAAGTAAATAACAATATGTGTATATATATATAAATACATATATAAATATATATAAATATACATGAATACATAATATATATAGCACGTATGTCATATACGCATACAGTATACAGTCCTTGTCAACCTATGCCTCCACAAAATACTGGAGACAAACACTGCGCAGCACTCTATGGCTTCCTGTCGGTCAAAACCTGAAGGGAGAGCAATGTTCCATATAGATTGACCATGACCTTCTGCTGTTTTAGAGCTACATTTGTATCTCATGAAACCCCAAAGACCCGTGTATTGTCGTGGTGTGTCGACAGGGCATTGCCAGTATGGACCGATGTCATATTGTCCAGTTTCTGGAGCGCAGTAGGGAAATAATGGGGAATGAATGGATTACGTCATGCTCAGATGTAGCTGATTGATTGAGCGCAGTCTGTCAGTTTCTGTGGATTTTTGAGGCGAAGGTCGGTCAGCGACCAAGAGGTTTTCGAACAAGCTGCTGCTGGAGCCACCACAGCGAGTACTCAGTGTACTCGGTCAGAGGACCGGGAAACGTAGCAGGTAGAGTCAGAATCGATTGGACAAAATGGGACAAAATGGGACAAAGATTTGACAAAGATGATATGACAGAATTAAGAGCATGCTGAGCATGCTGAGCCTTGAAGACTCGATGTGGAGTTCGGGGAGTCACAAAGTCACCCATAAGTCGTCGAAGTCGTCCGACATTCTCCCAGCATCTTGCATATCTTGGAGCTTTGTCACGAGGAGAAGTGGAGCTCTGGCCCGGAAAGATTTTTTTATGACACCACAACATACACTGGTGTACACAGGCAATAGCGGGTGATGGTGTAAGGGATTCGCAACAAGGAGTTGAACTGATTTGGCAATCAACTAGGGATTCAACATGTTTCAACATGTTTCAGCTTCTTATATGATCAGCTCAGTGATGTCCTGCGAAAGGCGCGGCCGGGGTGATGTTGAACACACGAAGCCACCATGCGTGAGGACCTGGAACCGGTAGGGCCGGTAGGGATGGGTGGAGCGGGAAGTGCTAAGCCGGTCCTGGGGTCCTGACATCCTGATCTTCACACTCTGTCCGACTCTGTCCGACTCTGTACTCTGTCCCTTTGCTCACAAGAAAGCTTCCACAGGACCTTCCACATATTCAAAAGGCAACGTGACATGGGAAAGGACACATTTTTTCGATCAGGGGGCCCCAGGGGGTAGAGACTCGGTAGGGACTTTGGTGCGGAGGATAACCTTGCAGAGCATTGGGATGTAAGGTGTTTTGCAGGCTGCCTCAAGACATCAGCAATCAACCATCAACGTAGCTCCACAACTGCTCCACCATCCCAGGCTTAAACGCCTTAGCAAGGGCTCGAAAGACATCAGAGTGCTTTATTATGCTTTATTATGCTTTATTCATCTAAGCAAATATAAGTATAAGTCATGTATACAGTTGTGTACAGTAATTATATGTCCGATCCTTCTAAGAATCTGGGTCACTTAATCACAGCATGGACATTCTCACCGATAGCATTCCTCAGAGATTGCCCCTATGCCTGGTGCTGTCAAGACAAGCAGTGCTCGTGCAGCTTCAGATCCCTGTGCTCTATCCAACTAGCAAAAGGCCCATGTACGGAGCTAGAAACAAAATCAGCATGGAGAATTTTCAGGGCACTATTCTTCCACAAAATCGTAGGCCACATTCGGTCAGCTGATGTTGATTCATGACATCCACTCTCAGCCTCCTTTCCTATTCGGCCGTGTGATGGAACAATAGGAATGAGTAAAGCAATGTTGAAGTGGTCAGGTCGTGACAATTGCATTGCATTCCTGATTCCATTGTGCGAAGGATAGGACTAGGACGGTTTGTTCAAGTAAATTTGAGCAATGGACATTTTCAAACTGTTTCGCAGTAACAAATTTGTGTTAGGACAGCAGCTCGATCGGCATCGCCACGTGGCCCTGAGCGATTCTTCTACGATACTTGGCAGAATCAGTTGACAGTGATGACAAGCGACTTTGGATCGGTGCTCAACACCGAGGACAAGTCAACCTACACTGGCACGCACAGAAATGGTGGCCCCACTGTTTCTTGGATGCGGCATTTTTCGTTTGTTGAGTTGTCTGTGGCAGTTGGGTTGACAGTGACCAAAGACTTGGTGCTTACAATGTGACCTTGTGCTCCGTGTCGTTCCCGTGTCTGCTCTTGTCTGAACTTGTCTGAATGCTGGCAGTTGAGGCAAGTGGAAATGGACTCCCAAAGGAGGGCTTCAAAGACCTAAGTGAGGTCGGTTTGAGGCTTCGAAGACGGAGGTATTTCACTTGAAACTCAGCATGTGATAGTATCAGAATGGAGAATAGGATACTGGTGGCAGCATGCCCCAATCTTCATCCGCACTTTACAACCAGTACCCTTGGGTCACTAGTCACATTATAACTGCAATGTATTATATACAATTAGATAAGTCATGATGGCAGCTGACGGCTTTGTTCTCCATGTAGTACCTTGCCGTGCTGCTTGCATTACGTCAAGCCATGCCATGTCATGCTCATGTAGAGCAGTATTAAACCGCCGACAGTCACGAATATATAATATACCTATACCTTTCAACAACAAGCAAATGCTCCAAGCAGTTGCATGTCATAATCCATTTCCGCAGCTTTTCACATCATATTCCTGTTTGAGATCTTCTGCGTCCTTACACCTCTTCGTTCTCAGATAGTACCATAGTACTTTATTTTGATTCTTTTTTAAGGTTCTTTTGATATGTGCAGTGTTGGGTTGTTTCAAGATGCTTGGAGGGTGGTAGAGGTAGATCTTGTATGAAATCATAACCTTTCACTATACATTTGCATGTATACATACATTGACCTTGTGGCGCTAGAAGACGCGAAAGGACACATCTTTGTCCATTTCCAGACTGGAACTGAACACAGCAGATTTTTGGCAAATCTTCGACATGCGTGACTGCCGCCTTGTTGTGGGAAACGGCCTAGCTTATGCCCGCGGATTTGTCTCGCTTGTGCTTGGTGCCCGGGTAGCCCCTTTCGCCTCTGAATGCCCCCATGTCCCTGTTACCTGTGTGCATTATGCTGGTCCCCAAACCCCTCCCAAATCTGCCCCTGGTCCCCAATCCCCCCCCTTACGTCCCCGAAAGTAAACCCTAAATGGTTGTTCTTGACATAAAGATCATAAAGGAATGTTGCCTGTGCATTATGTTGCTGCATGCCCCCATGTCCCTCCCTAATCCCCCCCAGTCGCCAAGTCCCCCCCATGTCCCCTGAAAGTAGACCCTAAATGGTTGTTGTTCTACATAAAGGTATGTTTAGGTCAATCTGGGCGCAAGTGAGTTGTTTCTATGGGCGCAAGTGAGGCTGGTCCCTTGTGGACCGGGTACCAGGTAAGTGTGCAAATAGGTGCTGAGATTCTGCTCCAGTTGGGGTCGTTTTTGGCCATTTCCGAAGATGTCCTTTCCTATAGCATAGATTAGATCAGATTTGAACTGGAACAGTTGGATCAGGTTTTGCGAATTCTTCCTGTGTCCCTGTACACTCCAACTGCAACTGAAACTGTGCAGGGCGGACGTGTCAAAAGAGTTTCGCCGCCGTGCTCAGTCCGCACGACCAGAGCGGCGGGAATCTGCAGAGTCACTCAGAGAGGCCAAGGGGAAAGGGACAGCATGGTGTGGACAGCGTGGGCCCTGTCTAGACTATGTAGAATTAATTAGTTTTTTTAAAATCAATAAATTAATAAATAAATAACTAAATAAATAAATATATATATATATTATACATAAGCCTCGAGGGGAGAGGGAAACTTTTTCAGAAGCTTTTCTTGCGATGGAGATGGAATTGTGGGAAACAGAGACATCCCAAAAGAAATTGAAGCACTACACAAGCAAGTCAGCTGTGCAACCCGGAAGCAGAGCACCAGCAGATGCAACAAACATAACATAATCACTTTTCCCCTGCGCACTTCCAGCACGTATCTGAAGTTGCATTGGCTTGCTAGAACTTAGGGGTTGTGTGGATATGTTATATTCAAAGGTTCTTGCCCATGGTAGTCAGAGACAAGTGCCAAACTGAGAGTGTCACGACCAGACTTGCAGCAGTTGTTCATGGTTTCGGGAGGTTTCTGGCCTAGAGCAAGCTGCTCCTGCGCAGGCGATGCCAAACTTGCTTCACTATTGTAGTATGTTTCGATATGTTTCGATATGTTTCGATATGTTTCGATATGTTTCATATTATAGTGTTGCAATGTTGTAGCAATCCGGAGCAGTTTTGCTTCAGGTCCTGTGTGCCTCGCTGCCGGTCTTGCTGGGGCAAAATTCCAGGCTGGGCGCAGTGCCAAGGAGTGTCAGGAATCGGAGCCTCATAGACTTCACATAGACTTCTCATGGTTTGTGCTGAGATGGTGAAGACACAACCAGCTCTTGTTTCATTCTGGTCTCATGCGTTGGCTCGACTGCAGGCAATCTGCACCTGAAAAGACTTTAAGCAACTCTAGAGGACCTGCTTTGTTCGAACAAATTTACAAACTCAGCAAACAATTTCGGTGGATCAGTGGATCATTTCCATGTTTTTTTTCTAGACATCGTGAAATCAGTTGACATTTTTAGTTCCAGCGATCAATTGATATCAAGTCAAAGCTTCGAGATTTCACTGCAGTGCCTTCCAACCTTATTACTTTTGGATCTTTCTTCCTCTGCTCGTGTGCTCTTGACTGTGATCGGTTTGCACTTTCCCAGTTCCGGTTTTGTGGGTTGGTCATCACGATGGCTCCTTCTTTCTGCTTTTCTTTCTGATTCGGTTAATTTCGATTGTGTTTTTGGATTCGTTCTTCTGGATAAGCTGCGACTGCTGAAACTACAAACACGAGAAATGGGTCGAACGGATGGTCCGATGGTCTTTCTCTTTCTTCACGCGAACGTAAATCAGATTTCCTATAGATTCAGAAGGATTCAGATTTCAAGAAGACTTGGAAGACTTTACACAATTTATAGGGGAGTGTCGCTCTGAGTGTCACGGCTGCAACCGGTTGACTCTGATTTGACGCAAGCGATAGCTATTTGAGAGGAAAACATCAGAAGGGGTCCAGGGCAGCAGCTCTAATCGGCATCTGGGTTGATGTTAAGTTGAGGATCTGGGTTGATGTTGGTGTAATTGAGAAAATCCAGTTGACTTTGTCCGATGTTTTGATAATCAGGAGTGTTTGGCCATGTTTGGCCTTTGTGTGCGTTGCATTTGCGTTGCATTTGCGTTGCATTTGCGTTGCATTTGCGTTGCATTTGCGTTGCATTTGCGTTGCATTTGCGTTGCATTTGCGTTGCATTTGCTTCATTTGGCATACTTCAGGCACTCGCTTCATCCCTGTGAGTCCAGTTGTACCGTCATCCTTGGACCTTAGTGTCACCTGGATGCGTTTGAGCATCCAGATAGCCAGTGGAAGTAATTGACTGATTTTTCAGCAGAGTTGATCTAAAAGACCGCACAGCAGAGACTTCCCTAGACACACTACGAAAACAATGATCCACAAGTACACAGATGCAATTACACAGTCCAGTAGTCAGACATAGTCAGATGAATTGCATCTAATTTCAATTCTGGTTCTTTGAACCGCTTTGTCGCCAGGTGGGGAGCATTCCCAGCAGTCTGTTGGAGATGAGTGATTGAAAAGAAACGCAACATGCAAAGGAGAAAGGGTCGCACCAGGGGTGAATCACATGATTTGACATGATTTGATTTGACCTCTTGTGAACGATCTCTTTGATAAGTCTCTGTTTGATCATCCATCTTTGCTAAGGTTGCATGTTGTGTTTCTCCCTAATCGGACGATTTGACCCTGTAAAAAACACTGCGACAAACGCAAAAGAGGGGAAACCGCCCAAATGCGAGCGGCTCTCCAAACAATTCATGGCCCAAAGGGGACCGATTTGGCTCGTTAGCCTTGCAACATGACCTCAAAGCTGTCGACACCATGAGGTTATATGACTGATATGCAGTACAAAAATGTACAACATACATATATGTATGTGTATATATATATATATTATATTATATATATTATATTATATATATATATTATATATTATATATATTATATATTATATACATATTATATATTATATATATTATATATATTATATATATTATATATATTATATATATGATATATATAATATATATTATATATATTATATATATCATATATATTATATATATTATATATATATTATATATTATATATTATATATATATTATATATATTATGTATATTATATATATTATCTATATTATATATATTATGTATATTATATATATTATGTATATTATATATATTATATATATTATATATATTATATATATTATATATATATAATATATATAATATATATAATATATATAATATATATATAAAATATAATATATATATATAATATACATAATATATATAATATACATAATATATATAATATAGATAATATATATAATATACATAATATATATGATATATATAATATATATAATATATATTATATATATCATATATATAATATATATATTATATATATTATATATATCATATATATTATATATATATTATGTATATTATATATATTATATATATTATATATTATATATATAATATATATTATATATATTATATATATTATATATATTATATATATTATATATATTATATATATTATTATATATATTATATATATTATATATATATTTTATATATTATATATATATATATTATATATTATATATATTATATATATTATACATAATAATATATATAATATATAAAATATATATAATATATATTATATATAATATATATAATATATAATATATATTATATATATTATATATATTATATATAATATATAATATATATAATATATATTATATATAATATATAATATATATAATATATATATTATATATATATTATATATTATATATATTCACATGTATACACAGACTACATGCACTGTAGATGTTCATACACAACATTAATGAATGTTGCTGTAAAGGTCTACATACGCCGTGTGCGAAAAGGTGGGTCACTGCAAAAGGCCAAGACGCCTGGACCTTCTGACAGGTGCTGCATTTTGTTCTCCAGATTGTTAGAATTATGGGAACTATGCTTGAGTCGGGCGCTTTGTGGTAGAATTGATCTTATTGAAGACCCACTCTTTGTCGAACGACAGTGGGATTTCATCTAAGATCAGGAAATCTCTCAACATGACCGGGTGCTGTGTGCTGCGGAAAACAAGTGCGCAACGGGAATACACCTCTCGCCCGTTCAGAGTGATTGCTTCCGCACCACGAGACATGCAGGACATCCAGACCGGAAATTGCGAGACTGGAGACAAGTACTCCCTCCGGTACATTGGGTAGATGACCCAGTTTTGAGATGCAAAAAAATAAAGTGAGACCGAAAATGAGAAGTTTGGGGTGTTCATAGCCACCCAAGCCGAAGGTCGATGGTGGGTGACGTGCACCGAACACTTCTCTATGGCGGCCTGTTTGCCTATCCAGCAGATACCAAGAACAAGGACAGCTTCAAGAAGAAAATCCCAACTGTAAAATTATGTCAAACCTAAATGCCCACATTGAGCCTACTATGGCAATGTTAAGCTGCCTCAAAATGTAGAAAAACATGAGATCCTGGAGCAAGAATCGAAAGAATCCTCAAACTATAATGCAGCAACCAAACAAACAGAAGCATCACTTGGATCCTCGTAGAATCTGGAGCTGAAACCAGAAAACATGTGCCAAGCAGAAGTGTCCTTGAAGATAGCGATGCTGAAGTGTTGCTGCTCTTCAGTAGTTGCTTTAGTTTTGCACATTGCTTGCAATTCTTCCGTTGATTCTCCCAACCAAGCTCAGAGCACGAGTGGAATTGCTCTGCGCTCTGAGCGCACTTTAAAAAAGTGCCTTTTTAGGGCTTGGGATGCTTGGAGGGCTTGGGCCGCCACAAATCCCAGGACGGAAAACTTCGCTTGCTCTATGAGGCAGCGCCTATGTCTTTCTTGCTGGAACAGGCGTCGGGAGTCGTCTCGCAGTATGATTTCCCGTATTTTCATGTATATTTTCATGTATTTTCCAGTTATCTAAAGAACATCATCTTTCAGACTAGAGGATCTAGGGGTTGGTCTCGTCAGATTTTCCATTCTGCAGTTAACCTTCCTCAAACCGTTCCCAATTCTGTAGCACCAAGACGGTGGCGCAAGTGAAAGATATGTCATGATTTGTCTGCACTTCCTGTCCTGGCCCCTACGTGTTGCCTAGCATCCAATCCGGCAAGTTCGGACTCCTGACTCCTGCAACATTGACATCGTGCCTGTTAACTGTTTGGTAGTTCATTGTGTGTCCCAACCTTTGTATGATGTCAAGATATGTCAAGTGTCTAGGCTAAAACCATGATTCATGATGGACATTGATATTGATGGATACAGTAAAAGCGAGGGCGCGCAGATGTGCGCATAGTTGATGGGTTGGGCAGGAGCTGCAAAACTATACTGTTTATATAGTCAAAGTGGAGAGAACAAACCCAAAGTTGCAGAGTCATGCAAAGCCCGTAAAAAACAGCCTGGAATGCAGTGTGACCTGAGGCACTGTGGTCCTTGGAAACAGTTTGATTTGTCTGCAATGAAGACGTCAGGGCATTCCATGTTTCTGACGCAGCGACGTCGGCTCTGTGCAGGCTGGCGGACTTGCAATTACCGGGCGACAACCTTGGAACTTTTCGATTAGTCGAGGGGACACGATATATGATAATTATGAATAATTATGATATATATATATATATATTAAATATATTATATATATATTATATATATGATGATAAACAATTACACATGTCCGTATTTCAGGTTTTGACCTGTGTGCCTTCCGATCGAATCCGGCTTCGATCCTTTAAGTCATTTTCCTTCACCCATTTATCTTTCACCTCTTTTTGCCCCGTTGATTTTACATCCGTGCTCCTTCCTGTTTTGGTCACATAATATTTCAGTCTCAAGTCATTCCTGCATTTCTGCTATTCTGGTTGAGCTCAGCTTGACTTAGCTCAACTCAGCTTAGCTTGATAATATGAAAATCACTTTGACATCAACTCTTTATCTATTTGCAAACTTGTTCAAGTCGCTGAGGCACAGCCGTGTGATGGACATCCCTCCAGTATCTGTACATCAGCGCGTGCCAATTATTCTGGGCTCCAAAGAGGACGTCGAGGAGAAAACAATGTGGACATGTGATGAGTTTGGACAAACAACTTGTTTGGCTTGCCTTTCGTCTTGTTGTGTTCTGTCAGACCTTGATTTCTTTTGGGGTCCAACAACTTGAAGTCCCGTGTCAGCAGTCTCTGCGGAGGTAAAGGATTTGAAAGACTTTCACCATGCCTCATTGCTTTAGCATTTTTTCAAGGCGCAGGTCTTTGAGGATGTTGGGGACATGCTCGTACTTAAATCGTTCTTTGCATGTTGTAGGAGTGCAAGAAGTACTACGAGAAGTGTGACGACCCAAAGCTGAAAGAAAGGCCTCAAAGAAAGAGATTCAGCTTGTTTCCGCTTTGGAAACGTTAGACTGGGCGCGACAAATAAAAGAGGAATTCATCCCTTCGGCGACCAAAAATCTGGAGACCAGGTGTGCAAACCGATTGAAGGGCCTTGTGACTGCGTGACCGCGCCATGCAGCTCTGTGCAATTCTCAGCCTTTCAATATCATTCAATATCTTTCAATATCTTTCAATATCTTTCAATATCTTTCAATATCTTTCAATATCTTTCAATATCTTTCAATATCTTTCAATATCTTTCAATATCTTTCAATATCTTTCAATATCTTTCAATATAATATCTTTCAATTATATATATATATATATGTATATTGTAGGTATTTGTTTCATTGAATAATGTGCAATTACATAGAGGACACTTCTATTGTGTAAAGCACCTCTTGTTTGCCCTTGCTTCATTGCGATTGAACGTGTTCGTATGCTTTGATCTCTGGTAGCCGAGGCGAATCTTTTCATGGACTTGGAACGAGCTAGCAATCATTTGCAAGGAATGAAAACATGAGCCCATGAATCACTCTAAGAAACACAGACCTTGATGTCATGATTACTCTGGGCTCTTGTTTCAGATGAAATCAATTTTAGAAGAGCCCTGACATTGGGCCTCTTTGAAACAGGGGCTTCGGATGCATTCTGGCCCGGGCAACATGCACATTAGTCACATTCGTGATAAGAACGGACATGTACTCGTGAGCCCATCGATAGCCCATGGACATGGTCAAAATGTCTTGCATTAAATCGTTGCTCTGCCGCTGCGAGTCAGTGGAGGTATCGGGAGCCAGTCTATCACAGCAAGTTGGTGCAAGGGCTTCCTGCCTGTTGCGCCCCTGTTGCAGCTGCACAGCTTCGTCATGCATTATCAATCTTTGTCATGTTTTCGTTTGACTGTTCATGACTGTGTTCATGACTGTGTTCATGACTGTTCTAATATGTTGGAAAGGATTGGAAAGCTATGGAAAGGTTTCAACAATTTCTACACATTGACTATACATCTTGGATCATCTCGGTGTAATTGAGAAGCTGTGCAGCATTTCTCCAGTGCGCCTGATGCCGGGCCTCCAGGGAGTTCTTTTTGAACGCAATTACATGCAATTACTGTATGTGCAATATATTGTGCCGTGTTACACAATATGATGTGTTTTGACACTTCAGAATGTCGAGTTTTCGCTGTTTTCACCTGTGGGCCTATGCACTAGAACGTGCAAAAAGCAAGCATCCAGGTGAGCTTTTTGCAGCGGGCGCACCTTTTAGAGTTCTTTGAAGTTGCTATTCGGAAGAGTGATTGGATCTTATTTTTTGAGTAAAAGGGGCAGCAATCAATCAATGTCACCACAACAAATATACCAGCATTGGAGACATTTCAATGTGATTTATTCAATGTGATTTCATGCACACAGATTTTGAACTCATACTGTTTGGAACGCTCCAATCGCAGCTTTTGTTGCTCAATAGCAAACTTCCCGTTTTGAGACTGTCTAGGTTCCAAGCCATGACGACCAAAGACACTATTGCAAAGGTTCGGCACTTTTGCATCCTTTGCATGATTTTTTTCAGTTTTTTCCTGATCTGCTTTGGTTTGAAAGAATGTCAACGAACTTCAATGTTTGCGCCTTTCTTTTCAAGATTGTCTTGCTTTTTCCCAGCGTGTGTTCTGCAGTTTCTTCTTGCGATTGCCGTTGGTTTTCACATGTTTTCACATTTGTTTTGGGTGTTTTCTTATGTACGAGAGAGACAAGAGAGACTAGACACACGAGACACTTATCCTCCTTGTAGGCCGCCGTTGTTGGCGTGAGCGCTGCAGCTGGAGCCGCTTTGGCTCTGGCCATTCAGAAGAAGGTCGGCGAGTCGCTTCGAGTTCAATGAGTCAAGTTACATCTATTGAAAAACCATAACTTTTCGGCGATGCCAGTTCCATCTATTTTCTCAAGATACTTTTCGGACCTTGTTGGTTGAATTTCAATGATTTTCCCGGGTGCGTCCCACTTTGGACCAATTTGACCTTGTGCAGCAACAGGCTGGCACGCAGTGCACACAGGTAACAATTGCAAGGGTGTTTCTGTTTTTGGCCACTTCGACTGCGCCCCAACTCAATGTGCTTAATTTGCAGGTGTCAACTTCTATTGAAAAACCAAAGAAATTGGAGTTGGAGCCACGTCCTGTTCTCAGAACAGGAACAGAAGTTCAGACTTCATCAATTGACTCATTATGACTCTGCAGATTTGCCAAAAGTTGTATAAAATCACGATTTTCTTGCTCCAGGCATCGTTGCGGCCCTGGAGGCAGGGTCACCCGAGTGTCGCAAGTATAAACTATAGTAACTAGTTACTAGTTCAAATTAGTTCAAATGCATTGTAGACAAATTGTGCATTGAAAGACTGCAAAGATGCATTGCATGATTATCGGCATGATCGGCATGATAGGCACAGAGACATTACACAAGGATACGGAACTCCTTTGGAAAACGCAGTTCCTGTTTGTGCTGGAGCTTGGGTTCACTTGGTGTGTCCTGGGCATGTCCAGGATATGTGCAGGGTGTGTCCAGTGTTGTCCAATTGCGCAGAGCATCTAGGAATCTAGGGCGCCTAGGCCGTTTTAGAAATACGCAATGGTTCAGATCACGCTATTCGAGGGGTCAGAGACGGCGAGAGACGGCAAGGGACGGCGAGAGATGGTGAGACACGGTGAGAGACGGTGAGAGACGGTGAGAGACGGTGAGCCTGACTGGGATGATGGTCTGACTGGGACATGGCGGCCATGGTCTGCGCTGCATGGCCTGAGGGCCCTGGTTGGCCTGGCAAAGACGGAGCGTAAAGATTCGAGGTCTTGGTGTTCAAATGTGTTCAAGAGATTTCCAAGATATTTGCCGTCTCCCGCTTGGGTCGCTTGGGTTTGAAAACGCAGGTATTTCCGTCAAGGTCCATTGGTGGTTTGACTTGAAGCCGAACACATTGCTTCCTAAGGTGGATGGCGATAGGCAAAGCACAGACATAAAATAGCAATAAATAACTTTTTAAATGCATATGATATATATGTTTTACATATGTTTTTGGATGCTGTCTAAAAGCTATTCAGTCATAGTTTGGTCAACGCATGAGGTGCTAGGGTTTGCATTGTTTAGCAATTAGGACTTAAATGTAATATAATATATGATGATATATGTATATATATTGATGATATATGTATATTGATGTATTGATTTGTAAATTTAAACACGAAACGCCCGTGAGCAAAAAGGAACATCCGAACGGGACTCAGCAGACTGAGATTGCCCTGTGAGGCTGCCCGGCGTGAATGTGGCGATGGCAAGTGGGGCCCAGACGATGGTGCCACGGCCACTGCATGGGTGGCATACCAGAAGCTCAGTTGAACAAGACTGAAGCAAGAGCTGTTGTAAAGGCAGAAAGGTTTATCTTACCTGGAAGCATCAACGAAATAAGAGGAGGCACGCTTCTGAAGGAATCAGTTGCAAAGTCTCAGATGGCTTGAGTTGTCCCTAAGACTATATAATTGGTTTGGATAGCTGAAGCGAAAAGGCACAGCTTAAGGATACCAGGAGTCGCAGCAATTGCATCAAAATTGGTGTCATGCAAAGATTCGCAGCTAGGAAAACTTTGGTGAACCTGGCGAACCCTTGGAATTGACGAACTCAGGATGTCGGACAACGCGTTCATTTTCCCTATCACACCCTCTACGTTGCTGTCCGAGTTCCTTGGTGAAGTTACAGACGCATTCAACCATGGCCTGCACAGACAGAGCATCCCGACATTCTGTGAACATTCTGTGAACATTCTGTGAACATTCTGTGAACATTCTGTGAACATTCTGTGAACTATGCGGCCTATGCATGCCTATGCCGCTATTCACAAGAGCCAAGGATGTGCGACACCTGGTCTGCAGGCGCTGTCAGAAAAACCAAAGGGTGTGGGAAAGAAGGACAAGACTGAAGCAAACTTCTCCTGTATCAAGGATAAATTTCGGCTACAAAGCCCTATACTAAGTATGATATAATCTACTAATCTATAAAATAAGTGCATTCTTTCACTACATTTTGTTTATTTCATTGTTGAGGTGTGATTTTGGGTAGTGCTAGGTAGCTTGCGATTGCTTTCTGGTTCTTTTTGATCTTCCGAACCTTTGAAAAAGCGCCTTGCTTCTTGTGACAATTTGCTTCGGCTATTGTGTATGCGGGGCAGGTTCTGTTGCTTCCTCCTCACAATTTTCAATCTTTGGACATCTTTTATAAGTAATCTTTGCCTCTTGTGCCTTCATTGCGGACGGTAGCCTTGATACATCTTTGTACTTTGTGAAGTGCAGTGACGTGCAGGTGGAGTTCAAAATGCTTTTGAGCAAGTGACGAAGATCACGCAATTGCAGTCTGAGGCTGGAGCAGCAGGCCGGAGTCCGCAGTCAAGCCACATTGGAAGCACCATGTGTTCACTGTGTTCGCAAAGCAGATTGTCAATGCGTTTGTAATCTACGTCAAACAATTGAAAGGTATCACAAAGGTATTGCAAGGGCACTCACACACACACATTGGACATACACACACACACAAGTATGGGAGCTTCTCTCAAAATTTGCGCTGATTAGGTGGTTATATAAGTACGTATTGGAGTCGGAAAGGGATGTAGTTTTTTTCACGAAACCTTCTAAAACGATAGCGGACTCACCAAATAAAGCTACGTTTTGCATAGCATGTGTCGCATGTGTCGCATTTGTTGTTGAAATCACAAGGGTATGAAGATTGTATTGGTTCTTTTGTGCAACCATCGTAGAGATCCTCGATATTGAACTGATGACGCATTTTGTGGTGAGGGCATGGTGTTTTGCCTAAACGGGGCCGGCTTCACATCACCATGAATGCGGGTGACCGTGGGGTGACTTACGCTACGTGGGTTGCTTGACCTCGGCACCAAATAGCTCAGAGTACGGAAAGTGTGCATGGCGTGCATCTAATCAAATCGCAGGCAGCGCAGGCAGCGCAGGCATGCTGGAGTGACCAGCTCGATGCAGCAAGACGCCTCGCAGACATACACGCACCAGGTCTTCCAACCAAGGCTGCAACCTTCACGAATCAACCTGTTGGCGCTTTCCCTTTGGGGGTCTGTCTGGGGGTGATCGGTTCTCGTTGCGCTGCAAACTACTTGTTCAATCTTGTTCAATCTTGTGCCCATTTGACTTGCGACGTGGCCTGTGCAGACCGATGCGCAAAACGATATCCAGACGATGCCCAAATCTTCCAAAAACGCCCCGGCTACCCAACTGATCACAAAAAGGTCACGTAGTGCCAGAATGAAATGCAGCGCGTGGGTTGGATGATCCTTGAAACTTGCAGCTTTATGTGGCATAAGTGGCTGTAAGCCATTTTCTTTCCAAAGACTCACTGATGTGAGGAATTACCCAATGCAGCGCACAGCCGAGAGAGAAACGACAAGAAAGCGCGAAACTCATATTGAACCTGCGCAACAGAGTCCCAAACCATGGGCGAAAGCAGAAGCGTGCTCAAACACAGGCAAACAAAGATAGTCCGGGATGAGGATCCAAGTCGACGCGCTTCAAAAATATGCTGAAATAATCTGAAATACAGGCAAAACCCATGAAATCCTGTAAAACGACAGCGGACTCACCGATTTCATGACGCTCTTGACCGAAACATTAAATTTCGACCGTGGTTCTGCCAAAAGGAAACTTGGTCAGAACCTTGAGTAGACAACAAGGCCCTGAGCCCGTTCATTTTCTCGTGAAAATATGCACGTTATTCGGCAATTCCCAATACCTGTGAGAGGCAGCATGCACGGAGCATTGTCGGTGGGTGGTTTGGCCACAACCTTCACTGCTTCTCAAGGACGTGCTTCTGCAGGGTGCATTTCCGATCATTCAGGATCAGAGACCGTCTACGAAAACGCATTTGCCTGATTTCCCTTGTGGTTGGACTTGCAAAGGACTCTTGCTGATGGTGCCGAACATGCACTTTGGCTTGTCTGATGTCAAAAGACTTACAAGACGTCCCCCCATTTGTGGATTGAGGATGGTATCTGTGCACCGATTATATAATACCAGCTAGCTGTCGGGATTTGGGTGACTCTTTGGCAGAGCTGTCAAGAATTTATGGATTGGTTGCTAATTAAAGTGCAAGAAAGGGGGAATTGCGGTCAAATTGCTTTCCTCAAACGCGGAATTTGCCGTTCTTCGAGTGCGCTTGCAATGGCCATCTCAGGCCTGGTTTGTGCTGTCGTCTTATTCGCAGTTTTAGTGTGGCACAATCATATTATAGGTCGGTACCTGTTTCATCTGTTTCAGACAAGAACAAAGCGTGCTCGCCCTTCAGCGGTTCAGACCTGCATCCTGGTATGTTGAGGGTTCCTGGCAAAAAGGTGCCGTGATTAGACTTCCTCAAGGTCCGTCTTCACAGGAAGCCTCAAACAAAACCACACGCAGAGGTCCTCATGACGTTGAACTCAGGTACAAAATTGCTGGCGAGCTCATCCCTTGCGTCATGCACGTAGCGGCACGTGCAGTGGCAGGGCAAGCCCTCAGCATTTTTGGGGATCAGAATGACATCCAAGCAGTTCGGTGTCTTTGTCTGCAAAGTCTGCACAGTGACTATTGGAAGACCCAAGGTTTGCCATCCCACATAAAAAACGCAACGAAACAACTATCTGTCTCTATGCATTGAGGATCCTTAGATGATCTTAGGGCTTTTCCATGCTTTTGCCAACGTCATCTTCTAAGGTCCACAGGCTTCGCAATCCTTTTCGGTAGCAGCGTGCAGCAGGTGCTGAGGGCTACAGATGCTAAAGACAGAAAGACAAAAGTCGTTGAAGCAAAACGGATTTCAGGTTCACTTGCTTAAAGCTGACTGGCAGCTTGCTAAGCTGTGTGGGTTTGAAGGCAGTGGACTTTGCGTTGGCCTCGCACATTGCCACCCTCCGCAGCCGAGTGCCCTTTGTCCATGCATTCGATGGCTTCCGGACCTCACATGAGATTCAGAAGATTCAGGCACCGCAAGTCACTGCAAAAGTCACTGCAAGTCCAGATCCGGGTTGAGCATCTGGATTCAGGAGACATCCAAGGGTGCGGCAAGCCATTCAAGTTTGAAGCTTGCTCTGTGCAGTCTGTGCAGTCGCAGGCCTATCCAAAAGAGATTTTCCAAAAAGTCGTGGAGTTGCTCGCGCCGGACTGCAGTGGTCCTGTCAGTGTTTGCACTCCGTGTTCAGCGTGCTATAGTGTGCTTGATTCAGCTTGATTGCGTACCATTTTGTCTTTGAGAGCCAACTGGTTGTGGTTAAAATTTCCACCAGAGACATGATGATTTTCTCTTCACCTTCTGTTTTCTATTTGCTGTCTATGTTTATTTTTTCGTTTCTTTTGATTATATCTTCCCCGTCGACTCTGCGAGCGAACTTCGCTGCAGGAGATCGATGCTCACAGAGCACGCGGTCTGAACCCGAATCATCCCCATGCACGTGGCACTGCGCAGTGCGACGACATCTACTTCCAAGCCGTAGAGGCTGATGAAGGGGTGATCTGAGAAAGAAAGTCCGCTCTGCTTGTTTGCAGTCTCTGCTAATTTGTGAAGCTCAGGCTCAGTTTCTCCGTTTTCAGCATGATACTCTTGATTGACGCTTTTGTGTAACAGTCTCCGATTGAAAGAATTGCTGTGTTTGAACGGAACTGCTGGCAACACTGTGATTCTTTTGTGAAGGAAGTGACACTTGAGTACAGTTTACTATGTTGACTCATATCATTTGATTTCATGCAATGCGTACGGAATGGACGCGGGACAAGGGAGCTGAGCAGAAGGCTCCAGAGCTCCGGCAGAAACTTGACTTAGATATACCTAGACAAATTAAATCAAATTATAAATCAAATTAAACAATGCTTTTTTACGCACTAAGCTTAGAAGACTTAGAGCCCATGCTGATCGTGCTCTGTCTTTCAGAACTGGAGGACACACTTTTGTGCACCCCGTTGGTGTACTTGCGTCAATCTTCCAAACACCTATAATATCGATATATTATATATTTCTATACATGTGTTCTGTGTGTTGTGTGCACCGCTGATGAGGACACCACAAAATTGACAACTCTGAGCCAAACTCTTTGATGCTCTCGTTTTGAGCAGTCGGAACGCTTTGCGTATCTTTGAATCATGAATGTGTCGGAAGAGCTAGGTTCAACATGGTTCAGCATGGTTCAACATGGTTCAACATGGTGCAAGATGGTTCAACATGGTTCAACATGGTTCAGCATGGTTCAACGGCTCGTGCCTCGCTTGTGGCGGTAAGATGCGCCAATCGCTTGTGGCAGTAATTACTTTACTTCGTGTGATCCCCACCATGACATTTATACATCTTGTTACTGGCAAATCTTCTGGCATTCTATCAGACATATCTTCTGGCATTCTATCAGACATATCTTCTGGCATTCTATCTGGCATTCTATCTGGCATTCTATCTGGCATATCTTCTGACATTCTACCTGGCATATCTTCTGGCATATGTTCTGGCATTCTATCTGGCATATCTTCTGGCATATTATCTGGCAAATCTTCTGGCATTCTATCTGGCAAACATTCTGGCACTTTATCTGGCATATCTTCGGGCATTCTATCTGACATTTTATCTGGCATTCTATCTGGCATACCTTCTGGCATTCTATCTGGCATATCTTCTGGCACTCTATCTGGCATATCTTATGGCATTTTATTTGGCATATCTTCTGGCATTCTATCTGACATTTTATCTGGCATTCTATCTGGCATACCTTCTGGCACTTTATCTGGCATACCTTCTGGCATTCTATCTGGCATACCTTCTGGCACTTTATCTGGCATACCTTCTGGCATTCTATCTGGCATATCTTCTGGCACTCTATCTGGCATATCTTATGGCATTTTATCTGGCATATCTTCTGGCATTCTATCTGACATTCTATCTGACATTCTATCTGGCATCTCTTCTGGCATTCTATCTGGCCGTTGAGGTCCAGCGGTGCACACTGAGCTGGGCAGGTCCCAGGTTGAGGTCCAGCGGTGCACACTGAGCTGGGAAGGTCCCAGGTTGAGGTCCAGCGGTGCACACTGAGCTGGGCAGGTCCCAGGTTGAGGTCCAGCGGTGCACACTGAGCTGGGCAGGTCCCAGGTTGAGGTCCAGCGGTGCCCACGGAGCTCGAAAGTTGACGAAGAACTTCCCGAAGAGTTGGCAAGGCGGAAGTGAAGGTGGAAGTTGATGCAGACATGGTCGAGGAGAAATTGGAGGAGGAGGAAGAGGAGGAGGCGGAGGAGGAGAAGGAGGAGAGCTAGCCGAGGAGGAAGAGGAGGAGAACAACTGTGATAAAATCTAACGGTGGGGAAAAACGTTCATTTTTTACTGCCGCAGGTGATTGCTGTTTCTGCGTGGCAGGTGCAGCATTTTAAGGCCTAATCGCTTGTGGCCGTAAGATCGCGTTTCTGTTTTCAATCGCTTGTGGCGGTAAAAAATCTATCGCTTGTGGCGGTAAGTGGGTGTCCTTGATGACAGGGTATACAAAACCAAGCGCTTGTGGCAGTAAGCTGCTTTGCAGCACTTGCGCACATACTTGACGTTACGTTGATTTACTCTCGTCGGTTTCTTTACTCTCTCCCCACGCGGACGCTGCGCTACGCGTTGTCTTCTATCCATGTGATTTCTACACATTCACTGGAAACATCGCAACGCTGACGTACAACAGGTTTATGTCAACTTCTTTCTGTTGTGCAGGATTTCACTGTTTTTACTGATGTCTTGATTGAAGTTTATATCATGTCTGTATCCTTTTAAGTGGATCAAACAAAGAGGGTTGGAGCAACTTTTTAGCCTACCCTCCCACATCTGGGGGCTATTCGACTCGGTTACCATAGGTAAAACATATGGCTTTTGATAGCATTTGGTGTGAATCCAACCCAGAGAGAATAAATGAAAGGAGAAAAAGAAAGACCGACATTTATCAAGGTGGAATTTCAGCTCTGCTGTGTTTTCATGTCTGTCGTTTTGCAGTTGGGTATATATAACGCGACGGTTGATATATTGGTTGTAGATACCGTGGCGATAGCCTCACGTTATGATATACATAGAACGGCGCGACCGCGACTAGATTTGTAGCTGTTGAGCGAGCGTAATGATCTGTGTATTTCCATGGGAGGGTTTAGGGTGGAAACTTTACCTTTACTTACATACCTAGCACATCATCATTAACCTTCTCCTCCTCCTCCTCCTCATCATGATCATCCTCATCCTCCTCCTCCTCCTCCTCAACATCACCATCATCAACATCATCTTCTTCATCATCATCATCATCATCCCCATCCTCCTCCCTCCTCCTCTTTACCGTCGTCATCGTCATCATCATCGTCATCATCATCATCATCATCATTTTCATCATTTTCATTTGTTGGTGTATGGGGTGGAACATGAACGTTATTATCCCACCCCTGATCATGAAAGAGCAGTGCCTGTGTCTGCAGGACAGCAAGAAAGATGATGAGTTTGCTGTGCCTGTGTGTGTACAGGAACATGAATGTTATTATCCCACCCCACCCCACCCCACCCCACCGGCAACTGATGATGAAAGAGCAGTGCCTGTGTCTGCAGGACAGCGAGAAAGATGATGAGGTTGCCGTGCCTGTGTGTGTACAGGAACATGAACGTTATTATCCCACCCCACCCCACCCCACCCCACCGTCAGGCTCCTACCCCCCTTTGGCGGTAAGCAAAACCAATCGCTTGTGGCAGTAAGTACGTTCAAGAATCTTACTCCCGCAAGTGATTGGTTTTGAAGAGTCTTACTGCCGCAAGTGATTGAATCTTACTGCCGCAAGTGATTTTTAACTTACCGCCGCAAGTGATTGAATCTTACTGCCGCAAGTGATGGGTGAGCCGGTTCAACATGGTTCTACACTTGAGGAAACTTGCAGTAATTTGCCCATTCATCAGTCGCGCGGCAAAAACAACAAAACCGCTTTCTCTCCTCACGACAAGGACTTGTGCTTTGCGTGTCAGATCATGCACATTTCACAACATTACTGACAAGTGTTGTGATTGATTTTTTTTGTATGTTCTTCGTCTGCAGATTCCACACACACATGTACACATGTATGTATTTATATATAACAAAAGTAATAGTGAATGTAATACACATACTTATATACATATATAACTATATATACATATATAACTATATATACATATATAACTATATATACATATATTTAAATATGTATATATATATATGTAAGAGCCCGGTTTTGGCCACGTTGGCTGGCGAAATTGGGATCATGCAGTTGTCCGTTTGCCGTCAAAGGTCTTTGCGGCTTTGTCACATTTGATTCAGTCCATCGCTTCCCTGGTCATTCTTGAAGGCAGCCAACAAGTACTATTTGGACGTTCCTCATTACGTGGAGGAGGCGAATCAAACTTGGCATTGCTCACATACACAATTCTTCATATCGCTTTACTACTTGCAAGGATACCATCTGAAACAAAGTGCGAAGAAGCAATAAATCAGTGCAGCAGTTCCACAAATGTTTATCCTTCTTCAGATCCTTGCATGAAAATGGCTCTACAAGATAGTGATAAGATAGGCTTTCACAATGAAATCATGTTCGCGGAAGAAATATGACATGTGTGTATGATTTGCATTTTCTGCGACAAGAGCCTTGGCTTCTTGCAAATGTAATCGCCGAGAAGTAAACAAGTGTGAAGGGCCCACAGGCCATGTTTGACTCCAGCGAATGCGAGCTGCCGCAGTGATGCCCTCAAACTGCTCAGGCATTTGCGTGGATCGAAAAGCTGAGTGGACGAAGCTACTCTTTGTTCGAATATGTCGGGAGTACCTTGTCTCGTGGATTTGGCTACAGGATGGTAAAGCAACAAAGTATGTATGTATGTAATGTAATGTAATGTAATGTAATGTAATTTAATTAATGTATGTATGTATGTAGGTATGTAGGTATGTACGTACGTACGTACGTATGTATGTATGTATGTATATATATATATTATATGTATAGAACTAGATATGATGTGCAAATTTGTTGCGACCCACACAGCAGCAACACAAACCATTGAGCTTGAGCTTTGGAGCTTCAGGCAAAAGTGCGAAGTACGTTCTCATCATCATGGGCTCTGGTGCTGGAGTTGTTGAGGAGTACCTCACAAAAATGGGTGACAAGGCGGGCAAGATGTGTGGGCACAGCCACTCCGGTATCTGAGTAGTTGGACCACGGCCTTTAGACGCTCCTTGGTGTTTGGTTGACATTGGGGGGGTGGGGGGTGGGGCATGTATTAACGTTCATGTGAACTTGCAGATTAAGTACATGCTACGCTTTGGCTGCCGGCAGGTGCATGTATTCATGGGTGGGGTGGGGTGGGGTGGGGCGTGTATTAATGTTCATGTGAACTTGAAGATGAAGGACATGCTTTGCTGTGGCTCCTGGCAGGTGCATGTATTCATGGGTGGGGTCGGGTGGGGTGGGATAATAACGTCCACGGCTCTCTCGTTCATAGGTCATGCTACGCTACTCTATGTTCTCTTGGGCTTTGTACTCATGGGTCATGCTACAGTACTGTACGTTCTCTGGAATTTTCCATTCATGCGTCATGCTACGCTACTGTATGTTCTCTTGAACTTTGCAATCATGCGTCATGCTACGCTATTGCATGTTCTCTTGGACTTTGCACTCATGGGTCATGCTACGCACCCCTTCGTGACACAATATGTGTTCATGTGGTGCTGGCGTTCAAACTTACAGAGTCCAGATCCTAAAAGGTTCTTGGAAGAACTGGAGGCGCTGCTCTGACCAAAAGACGGCTAAAAACATGTGACGACGACTTAGTGTCAGGTTGGCCAGAAAACCCAAAAATGGTAGTTTCGTGTAGGCGAAACGACTGTTTTCGTTCTACTGCTTGTGAATAAGGGGTTAGCGACCTTAAAAATAAAATCACACAAATTCCTCTTGACGAGCACATCGAACATGATCAACAACATCCCATCGATCAAAAAAAACCACGGCCATCTAAAGGCCGCGCTCCTAGTTTTGTCTTCTTTTCACAGAAAATCGTAGTTTGTCTGCTTGGCAGATACTTTTAATCATTTTATTATCTTTCCCTTTTGTTTGCTTCCATACTGCAATACTTTACTTTGGCAGGCCAAGGATTGTGGCTGCCTCAACGTGCACCTCTACAGGTGCTGAATTGAACATCTGTGAGGGACACAGCCGGATGACAGCTTCAATGAAGTACAAGGAAAATATTTCCTTGGGGAGTATCCTGACATTGCAGGACAAGGGACTTGGGAAATGTATGGAATCTGTGGAATTCAGACAAATTTGTAAAATCAGGATGATTACAAAGTGGAAAGAGGCCTGAAAACTAAGTATGCAAGGCAGTCAGGGCACAGAAGGATTGCGGGGAGACCGATCATGCAAAATGATAAACGTGGCTTTTGCCCTGAACCAAACAAATACTGAGGGGATCGGACAATGGAGGTCTCATCCCGACTCAAAGGGATTCACAGCCACAGATTTGGTTCCGCGGAAGGCCATGGAGCGAGAAGCACTTCCTGGCAGCCTTGCCAGCGCTGAGTGGATTGCGGGCAGTCGCTGTATGCAACAAGATGAAGGAGAAAAGATTTTGAATTTTGAGAAATCGATTAAGCCGAAATGGTATCAGAAGGCGAGCAGTGCGAGGTGACCTATGTCTGAGGTGAAGGGATTGAGAAAATTCTTCGTGACTTCGGTTGACAGGATCCTGCTGCACACGGTGAACCACTCTTCCTCGATGTTTGCACGGAGCTCAAGGGGTTTTAGCTATTTTAAGTTCACAAAGAAGCGAAAATAACACAAAATGAAACAAAATAAGCCAATGAAGAGAGCATGTGAAAAGCAGGCAAAAAAAGTGTGTCCTGAGGCACGTCACTGCAGCGAGCCAACTGCACAGCTCGTGTGATCAATGGTCGCTATGGCCGCTCTGCAGCACCACAGAGATCGTTGGAGGTCAAAGAGCTTGCTGAGATTCTCCTGAGCTAAACAGGCTAGAAATGGCTAGAAGGATTCCAAAAGGACCATTCTTCTACCCTTTCCTTTTTCGCTCTTTGGCTTTGCAGTGCCGAACCAGGTCTGTCCAGCAAAGACTTCACTCCAGGAATGGTGGAGGCCATCTACCAAAACCTGCGATCCAGGCTTGGAGAGATACAGGTAGCATGCTTGGCGCCATTGCGGTGCTTTCAAGCTAGTAACAGCTCGTACACTAAGGATGAGGTTGACAACTTTACATGTACAGCATCGTACAGCTCCATTTTATCCATCTTTATTCCATCATCGTGTGAGATCAAACAGGTGTGCAGTGCAGGTAGGATAGGTAGGCACCAACCGGCGCTAGGAATCCAAAGCATCCGTTCACGGTTGGCTTGGAAGATGCCAGTGCCTCAATCCCCGCCAAACAGAACTTGTCTGACAAGATCTGACAAGCAAGACCACGGAATACCACGGACACCTTTGAAGATTTTTGAAGTCTGAAGTAGAATTCATCCGGACTTGTCTGGACAGATCTCGACAGCTGCAGGACGTCACGCACTACTCTCTGCCGTATGGTCGCTTGGAGACTGTGCCTGAGACTACCAAGCAGTGCATTTTTTGGGGCTTTGGCAGCGCTACTTGGCAGTGCATAAGATGATTCAACAGCCCAAGATCACAGAAGATGTTGCGACATGTTACGACTAAGCGTGTGGTAAGCCTGTGTGGTTAGCCTGTGTCGCTGGCGCAGTTTGTTTGGTTTTGTCTCCTGAATCCATATTTGTATTGTATACGGTGTTCGCTCATGAGATCTCCACCTGAAATGCTGGAAGCTTTCCACACATCCAATTTTTGGAAAAAGAGGACGGTACTGTTGGTGCAAACAAGAACACCATCAAGATCATTGCGCAGTTGCTAATCTGCATTTAGTTGGTGGGGAGTGGATAGATCTGATGGAATGCTGCAACAGTGTTGATGAATTCCAACACTGGGCCCCACTCATATGCATGCAGATACAGTACAGGGCTTACTTGGTGACTTGAGACCTAAGACTTTCATGATCGATAAATTCTTCGTTCAAGTGACATTTGTAAGTGACCAGTATTTCCCCCCCTTAACCCTGTATTCCCAGATGGCCACCTTCTCTTGCAAGTTCAAGGATCCCTTCAAGGCCTTAGAAGTAGACGAGTTAGCTAGCAAGCTTGACATTGCAGGAAGATCCGAAAGCATGCTGATGGTCCACTAAGGTGCAAAGACAACTTGCAAGTAGACATCATTCACAGGTAGGTTTTTGTCCTCACTCTTCCCATGCTCTTGATTGGACAGTCATCGCTTCCTTCCGTGTTTGCACGTAAGATCCCAACTTTGTTGGGCCTAAGTTAGATGTGACATGCAAGGCCTTGTTTTATAAGATGTCAACCTAAAGTTCCATGAACGTATTGCCCATAAAGGCCTGCGCACACAAACTAGGCACACAACCTCTCACGCTTCGCATTTCAACAAAAGTGGCGCAAGACTTGTCCCGAAACGTATGAAGCCCACCAAGGAACACGCAGCTTTATGCTCAGGGATACTTCAAGTACGATGCTTTGAAGTCAGGCAAGTGCAGTGTCGATTATGTTCCTGTTTGGATAAAGTGAGGTTGATAGACTTTCAGAGAGTCCCCCAAAGAATTGCCATGTATCATGTGCAAGTTTCTGGTCCAACACCGCTGGAACTGCTTCAGGTGGCGTGACCATCTCCCATTTGCGCTTTGGGCCAGAACCGATTAAAGGCAGCTACCTCATCGACGCAGGCTGCAATTATTTGGCGATCCATAAGAAGGAGACCCCTTGTCCTTGGGGACACTCTGCGCATACACGTCTCATAGCATGCCAATGTGCTAATCCGTTGTCGCCGCCTCTGCTATGCAGCGGCTAGACGCGACTAGCATGGAAAGAGGAAAGGAACTCTCTGACGTAGAATTGATTGCGAGGCGAGAAGGAACGACAGAAAACATGTGAATTGAATTGCAAAATCGAAATAAATTGAACGCTGGACCTGTCGTGACGTCCATGTCTTGTAAAAGTCTTGTAAAGGAGTACATCTTCAGCTTCTTTGCCGACTTGTTGCCGGGTCCACTTGCCGATGGAGGCAAGGCGATTATTGCCGTATGTTCATTAATTCTGTTTACGTCATTCCGCGGTTCATGGTTTTGCCATTGGTATGAAGAGAAAGCAGTCAAAGTGGAAGCTAAGAGAAGTGAAGCCCAAAATTCGCAGGTACGTTGGTTCTCAATTGTCCATGGTCAGATGCCGTCGCTGTCTCAATCGCACAAAGGACTTGCGTGTTTTGTTTTTGTAAGCAAAATCAGTTAAGCAGAATTCTTTGTCGCTTCAAAGTGATTCAGGATATGCGCTGAGCAAGATTTGCAATCGGGTGCGCTTTTTTGGAGTTCCCTTTCTCAAGATTCCAAGGAAATGGACACCGTCTTGCCACCACCCTTCCGAAAGATTGTGGGTCAGAAGCGCCTCAAGGCAATTGCAACATTGAACGCCTGGATTTTATATAAACTGGTCGGGATGCAGATGTTGACGCTGCGTTCAAAGATGAGTGAAGGTCTGCCATTGTACAGCCATATGCAGTGAACTCAGCAAAGCCGTCGCCCGAAGGTCTGCGCTATTGATGCAAGTGCTGTAGCAAAACGCACAGGCTCCACCCATCCATGGCACCTTAAAGCAGCGTGACCCAACGTGACCATTGATGAGATGTTTCTTCTCTTCTTCCCATGCATGAAATGAGAAGACTTAGAAATTCAAAGCATGAGAGTGAGCTCAGTGAGCCTCCAGGAATGGGGAAGCTGATCAACAACATCATGACGGCTGTCTTTTTCGAGCTTTCGGGAGTCCTTCCCACAGAGCAAGCCCTGGCTCTACTAAAGGACTGCCAGTGCATCCAGTCCTGAATCATCTGAAGACATGTGGCAGTCGCATGCAGTTGCAAGGATGCAGTGAAGAAAACATACAAGAACAAGGGTGATGCCATCGTCAACTAGTGCCTAGGCTCACTGCGCTGCAGATGCACAGATTCACTTAGCCACATGTGCAAACGCTAATATTTCTGAAGAATCGAAGTATACTCGCACATTGCATTATAATACATTGTATGTGAATATGTGTATAGTGTATACATACATTATATATATACATGATATATATATACATGATATATATATATATACATGATATAAATATATATATATACATGATATATATATATATCATGATATATATATATTCACATGGACATGCAGAACCATGAATACATTTTTAGATGCATGTGTGTTGGATAGGATCCAGCTCAAAACCTCTGAAAATCTTGTCTACTTAGAAAAGTTGTTGCAGATTTCCTGTAGAAGGCGAAGTATTGTTTCCGTTGAGATTTGCATAGCAAGAGAGGCATGCAACACGCTTAATTGTTGTCTTTCAGAGTGTGCCATATGAGCGGCTACGGCATATCTATATATATATATTTAGATAGATAGATATGTATCTATACTATGTCGAAATCTGTGTCTCTTTCTGCATATCTATATCCATGCGTAAATAGTATATACATATTATAATATATATATATGACTGGACGTACAACTATTAAAAGAAATGCAAGCAAACAAACTGAACAAACAGCTAAGGAATATCAAAGCAGTGGAGGCCGCCATTGAGGCCCTGCGCACTGTGCAGTATGATGCAACCAAGTGGGCAGCTTTGGATTGTGATCGGGAGTCCTACTACATCAAGGAGCCTCGGCGAGTGTATTCAACAAAAAGAAAAGCCTTGACAGAATTCAAACTTAGACAAATTGAAATAAATTTAAAGATGCAATTTAAATTGGCAAGAAGGATTCCTTGTGAGCTCGTAAAACAAGGAGCGTGGTGAAGAGCCACCTGCCTACGTTGTTGACGTCTTGGACAAGGCACCTGTTGCATCATATATCAAGGAACCCAGGAATTCAAATTGATTCAAACGAATCACGCGTTTCAGCCTTGGTTCCAATGGAAACATTTTTTTTGGTTTGAGCATGTTTGAACCATTGTACAGACCGAAACAACTCACCTGGCTTGTCAAACCCAGTTGCGGCTTCCTCGTAGCAAAAAGTAGCAGGTCAAGCTTAATCATCGCAGAGGTTTTCATGACTCTTGGGAACTGCTAAATCATCATGCCATATCATGCTTGTGGATCCCTCAGGTCCAGACAATGCGCGGGCATGAGTCTCTTGCTGCAGTGGAATATGAATTCATTCTGTCAGCTTGGCCATTCATGGTTTGCCATCGCCGGTGTTTGCATGTCGCAGGAGCTTGTTGGCCTCCTTAGTTTGTCAGTTTTCCTTTCAATGCAACCAGGTCTTCAGATATCCTTCAGTCCCAGCAGCGCAACCACCATCATTACCGTCACCATCTTCATGTTTGTCATCGCCTTCATCTTCGTCGTCGTAATCTTTATTACCATCACATAACTCATCACCATCGTCATCATTGTCATTCCATCCTTACTGTCATCCCCGTTGCATGGTTTATGGCAATCGTTGGCAAATCTGTTTAGGAAGACCCGGTCACTAAACAAAAGGCCAGAGGAACGGAGAAAGGACAGACAGGAAGAGGATGGAAGAGGATGGAAGAGGATGGAAGAGGATGTACTGTAAGAGGATGGAAGAGGATGGAAGAGGATGGAAGAGGATGGAAGAGGATGGAAGAGGATGGAAGAGGATGTAAGAGGATGGAAGAGGATGGAAGAGGATGGAAGACGATGGAAGAGGATGGAAAGGATGGAAGAGGATGGAAGAGGATGGAAGAGGATGGAAGAGGATGTACTGTAAGAGGATGGAAGAGGATGGAAGAGGATGGAAGAGGATGGAAGAGGATGGAAGAGGATGGAAGAGGATGGAAGAGGATGGAAGAGGATGTAAGAGGATGGAAGAGGATGGAAGAGGATGTAAGAGGATGGAAGAGGATGGAAGAGGATGGAAGAGGATGGAAGAGGATGGAAGACGATGGAAGAGGATGGAAAGGATGGAAGAGGATGGAAGAGGGTGGAAGAGGATGGAAGAGGATGGAAGAGGATGGAAGAGGATGGAAGAGGATGGAAGAGGAGTAAGGTGAGGCAGTGAGGCCCTTTCGGACTCTTTCGGCTCCTGTGTTTCCCGAGGCTCAAAGTCAGCGAGATCGAAGCTGACGGTTGCGTGCCACTCTCCCAGACTCGCTTTGCCAAGCGCGGCGTTGCTGAGTCGGTGCCTGTCGTCGACATGGACAGATACGGTGCTGTTTCGAACAAGTGAAGTATGGAGCACTTTTGATCAAGCTGTGGGAGCCTCTTCGAATAAGTAAACAAATACAACTCAGGGAGCAGAAGTTGTTTGAGGCATTTCGCGTTGTTTCAGTTTCAATTTGGGTTCGCTTCGAGTTCATTCCCATGCCTGAGAGGACAAATGCATCCAGTGCAACGTTTGCAGTGCTATCTGCCCGCATGCAGTGATTCGGCCATTCCTCCTTTCGCACACAGAATTGCAGCAGGCCCAAACGCCTGAAAACAGAGCTGTAGTAGCCGCTTTTGGAGAGCTTGATCAGTGCTGTGACATACTGCTTGATCAATCAAGGATGCTGGAGGTTGCATTAAAGTTGATACCAGTCCTTGGAATCACAGTCTACCGCACTAAATGTCGGTATGCTTTGGAATTCCAAGTGGTGCTTCTTTTGACAGCTTTACACTCCATATCATTGTATGCCTGGTGAGATTCTTGCTACATCTCATCTGAATGCTGTTGCGGTGTCTCTTGCTCGAAGTAAGTCGATCCTGCGTTTCCTTGACAGGCACCGGACTCTTTCGATGCTCGCAAGGCTACAGGTCACGGCCCTAACATGCAGATGGGCACCTTACGGTTCCTTGCGGTGACTTGTTTTGGGCTGATTGTTTTTGTGCCGAGACCTCCAAATTTCCGCAAAGCGTTTAAACTTCATGAAGCCTTTGGAAGAATAGACCTTGGAAACTGCGCGTGTTTCTCAGAGTCTGGTGCCAATAGTGCATCAACGCAACACAATGCAACCCCTACATGAGATTAATTTGGAGTGCTCGAAGGGCAAATTTAGCTAGCGGCCAGCCAAGCTTTTGAAAGCCAACAACCTTGAAGGGCAAGGAACCCACAACAAGATACTCCGACACTATCCGACGCTGAGAATGCTGATTTTGGTTGGCTTGGTCGGATTGGTAGCTGAGGTGGCAACACATTTGCTGGTCTTCATTTTCGTATCCAAGCGTCGCCAAATGACTGCACAGGCTCTAGCTGGGAATGTTTGAGAGCTGCCTCTTCTTTTTGCTCTTTGTGGCTCTTTGTTGCTCTTTGTTGCTCTTTGTTGCTCTTTGATGCTGGTTGACTGGACGAAGGCTGCGAGGTTTGTACAAACGCATGCCCTGTGGGAGCTCTGAGCATGATGCCTCGCTTGGAGACAGTGCAGAAGGGACATGCTGCCAATTGGGTAGCTACCTCAGCGCAACCGTACAACATCATGCAACATCACGCAACACCATGCAACACCATGCAACATCATGCAATGCAACCCAGCTGCTTCAGATGTTGAAATGGTTGCCGCGCCAACTCTTCACCACTCCCAATTCCTGAGGATTATGCCTTGACAATTCCAAATCGCGGTCAGCGCTTTGATGCAAATACTCTGAAAGGCTCTCAATTCCAGGAGCCTGTCAGAGCAGTTTCAGCTATCATGCGGTCTTCAGTTTCATACATTTCATACCCCTCAGTTTCCTTGCTGCCAAGTGATGCGATTGCCAGAAATGTCACCAGTCTTGAAGGAGCCACTGCTCGAATTCTCTGGCGCTTGCGAGGGTTGTGGAGAGACGCCTTATGCAAAGCTGGTGACACAAATGCTTGGCCCACAGTTGCCCAATGTCCAGTGAATTTCAACTTTCCAACTTGATAGTGAATTCATTACAGCTGATTGAATCTGATTGACGGATTTTGGGGATTTAGCATCCTTTGTGGTACGTGCAATATGTTTGTTGCACGTACACCTCCCACGTGTTTTGGTATGCGCCAAAGCATATCTGTGGATTGTAGCAGTCTCAAGCCTTTACATTGGGTTGTCAAAGGGTTGAGCTTGTTAGCTTGTTAGGTTTGGAAAACGCCTGATTGTCGCGAATGCCACAGGCTGGAAGCGACTTTGAAGGGCATTTCTTTTGCTATGGAAACTCGTGTTTTCAAAAAGAATCCTTCAGATCCTTCACGCAGATTCTGTTCAACAGCAGCTCCGTTCAGGCTGCAGCAGCATTTGGGGTGGCACAGCCGGTTGGGTCCCGTATGCCACCGACAAGGCGGAACTTTATCGTTGTTTCATTGAAGAAGACTAAGAAGACTACACGACTTTGAAAGCTCTATGAGCTCTTGATGTTCGTGTTCTCTCAGATTCTCAGTTTAGTTCTTGACTGATTCTGACTGATTAGACGGGAGTAATTACATGAGTACACATGCGTGCATAGATAGATAGGATAGATAGGATAGATAGGATAGATAGGAAAGATAGGATAGATAGGGTAGATAGGATAGATAGGATAGGTAGGATAGGTAGGCTAGATAGGATAGATAGGATAGATAGGATAGATAGGATAGATAGGATAGATAGGATAGATAGGATAGATAGGATAGATAGGATAGATGGGATAGATAGGATAGATAGGAAAGATAGGAAAGATAGGAAAGATAGAAAGATAAATAGATAGATAGATAGATAGATAGATAGGATAGATAGGATAGATAGGATAGATAGGATGGATAGGATGGATCGGATAGATCGGATAGATCGGAAAGATCGGAAAGATCGGATAGATAGGATAGATAGGATAGATAGGATAGATAGGATAGATAGGATAGATAGGATAGATAGGATAGATAGGATAGATAGGATAGATAGGATAGATAAGATAGATAGATAGAAAGAAAGATAGATAGATAAGATAAGATAGGATAAGATAGGATAAGATTAGATTGGTAGAGCAGATAGAAAGGATAGAAAGGATAGATAGAATAGATAGGATAGATAGGATAGATAGGATAGATAGGACAGATAGGATAGATAGGAAAGATAGGATAGATAGAATAAAATAGATAGACTAGAATGCAAAGATAGAATAGAACAATCGAAAGAATAGACTAGATAGAATAGAATAGAATAGACTAGAATAGACTAGAATAGAATAGACTAGATAGATAAGATAGATAGATAGATAGATAGATAGATAGGTAGGTAGATAGGATGGATGGATGGATGGATAGATAGGATAGATAGGATAGATAGGATAGATAGGATAGATAGGATAGATAGGATAGGTAGATAGATAGATAGATAGATTTGATTGATTGATTGATTGATTGATTGCTTGATAAATTGATTGATAGATAGATAGATAGATAGATAGATAGATAGAGAGATAGATATGATAGATAGATAGAGAAAGATATGGATGGATGGATGGATGGATAGATAGATAGATAGACAGATAGATAAATAGATAGATAGATAGATAGACAGACAGACAGATAGATAGATAGATAGAGAAAGATATGGATGGATGGATGGATGGATGGATAGATAGATAGATAGGATAGATAGATAGGATAGATAGATAGGATAGATAGATAGGATAGATAGATAGGATAGATAGATAGGATAGATAGATAGGATAGATAGATAGGATAGATAGGATAGATAGGATAGATAGGATAGGATAGATAGATAGATAAGATAGGATAGATAGACAGAAAGATAGATAGATAGATAGGATGGATGGATGGATGGATGGATAGATAGATAGATTGGATAGATAGATAGATAGATAGATCCATAGATAGATAGATAGATAGGTAGGTAGATAGGATGGATGGATGGATGGATAGATAGGATAGATAGGATAGATAGGATAGATAGGATAGATAGGATAGATAGGATAGATAGGATAGGTAGATAGATAGATAGATAGGATAGATAGGATGGATGGATGGATGGATGGATGGATAGATAGATTGGATAGATAGATAGATAGATAGATAGATAGATGGATAGATCGATAGATCGATAGATCGATAGATAGATAGATAGATAGATCGATGGATAGATAGATAGATCGATCGATAGATCGATAGATAGATAGATAGATCGATAGATAGATCGATAGATCGATAGATAGATAGATAGATCGATAGATAGATAGATAGATAGATCGATAGATAGATAGATAGATCGATAGGTAGATAGATCGATAGATAGATAGATAGATCGATAGATAGATAGATCGATAGATAGATAGATCGATAGATAGATAGATAGATCGATCGATAGATCGATAGTTAGATAGATCGATCGATAGATCGATAGATAGATAGATCGATAGATAGATAGATAGATCGATAGATAGATAGATAGATAGATAGATAGA